GAGGCTGGTATCCATAGGGGCCCTGTATAAATGGCTATCTTTAAAACGGTGAACGGGGAATCGGGGAATAGAGGAATAGCAATGGAATGGGATGGAGAACGGGGAACGGGGAACGGGGAATCATTAAATGGGGAATCTTTGAAAGCGAGAATCTTTAAAACGGGGAATCTTTGAAAGCGAGAATCTTTAAAATGGGGAATCTTTAAAAGCGGGGGTCTTTAAAATGGAGAATCTTTAAAAGCGGGAATCTTTGACTGTATGAGCTTATTAGCACTTTTGCCAATTACTCTCGGAATATTACACCCAAAGAGCCAAACATTTCCAATTACTAAGTTTCACTAGCTCTTAAATGTTTGAAGTTAATTTTTTGTATAGCAAATTCAATGAGGAAAATTGCAGACAATGAAGTCAGCGAAGACTCTCCTATTCAAATGTGCTGAAAGTAAAATAAAGGACCTTTTCGTTTACATAGCCATAGTCAGCAGGTCTCTGGTTTATCACTTAAGATGTTGCCAGGAATATGCATGCCTGCCTGTGATTGGTTACCTCAGGACTTTAATTAGGATATTCCTTGACACATTAGTTTTCCATAAATTTACCAGCGTTTAGACTACAGACGCCAAATTATGTCTTCAAAGTGAATAACTTGTAAAGTGCTTGGAATAAAATATGCAAATATAAACTGAACGCAGCAACCTCCGGTCATTTTGGATTTGTGTTCGAGGAAATTTCGGGAAGGCAAATCACATGAATATCGTGATGTCATCGTTTTCAAAAAGATCCATTTGCAAAACAGTACTGTCCACACGAAAACGAAACGCCAGCGTTTTCAAATTCCTCCAGTTTGAAGAGCGTTTTCGAAAAGCTCCATTTTCGTGACGGATATTAATGCAGACGGTAGGCCTAACCTAAAAAATACAGCTGCGTTTACAAATTTCTCCGACGTGATGTGGACGGGGCCTTTGCAACTGCTCCCATACAGTCATACAGGTAGTAAACTATAGTTATCGCACGTGTGATAAAATTTCCTAGGGCACGGTTTCTAACTTAACAGCGGATTTAAAGATGGTGAGAGTGAACTTGAGCGGACGGCAAAATCGACATTTAACATTATGCGTAATTTGCCTCAGTTTCGCTTTCATTAAAGAAAGTTGTGAAAAAGTCATTACGCACCAAAATGATAAATATTATCTGCAGACAGCAGCAATTTAATCTCTAACTCCATTGACAAAAAGCAAATGAATAATGACTGGTATACATTTTATATGATAAAAATTTTATCTGCTTCCTAGCTTTTTTTTACGACGGACCAAATATCATTCATTGAAACCTACCCGTTTATTAGTTACATTCTGTTTCCTTTCATTTAAAGATTCTTGTGATAAAACGAATAGTATTTGGGATAAAACCGCTTGATTTTAAGCCCAGCATTGGGTGACACCTCAATGAGTTAAGGATGACATTTAATTTGAAAGTTTTGGCGATGCTTCACACAAATTTGATAAAATATACAGACGGTCACAACGGTCTTGCCAGACTGATCAGAAATTTAAAAACTAGCTTTGTTTTGGCAAACTGCAGGCTTTAAAATCTATTAAAGGTTATGACTCTTAAATTGTCTTTAATCCTCTCTTTTACCTCTACACTCAAAACTACGGTGTAAAGGTTCAAAATTTGTTAAAGGCTCCACGTTGGGTAAGAATGTTTTCCTTAGAAGTTTTCGAATATTAGTTCTTAGGACCAGCTAGTGGAAAACACTGTCTATAATTTTAGCCCCATTAATCTCGCTGGTATTACTTTATTCAGCGACGTTCCAATAGACTGGAGGAACAACATGTTCTATTTTGCCGGTTGTGATGGCATTGTGCTGTTTGAATGTTTCAATGGCTTTTTTGAGACTTGAATAAGTAAACATTTGACACGACTGAAATAGAACTTACCAGTTAAGCCTTATTTTCAGATTCCAGTTACTTGATGAATAGATCTTTATCGTAAACTTGTTTGTCTTGTAGCTTGTAGTATTTAGCCTTAGTTACCAGCAAAAATAGAGCGATTTCTTGAGAGAAACTTCTGCCCCTCGCAGCTGTTTTTTTTTTGTTTTTTTTTAATTTGGAGGTGAGTTTATTGACTGCTTTTAGATTGGTTGGGTTTTGTTTTAGTTTCCTTAATTTTCAATAAATGTTAGACAATGCCTTAAAGTGTGGATCTCGGCAACACGCGAAACAGAATGACTTTGTAAATGCTTCTCAGCAGACGCCCCCTGTTGCGTATATGGCCTGTCTTACCATATTTGGACTGAATATGTGCTTTCCAGCTGTATGTGTCTTACATGAGGTAGGCATTAAAATGAGTTAAGTTGCATTTCAAATAGTGTCTTGTTGTGCCATTCGCCTCGCCTCCCTTGACAAAAACGTTCAGCTATCGAGTACGACTCATATTATATTCGCTGTATGCACCTGGGCAGAAGAAGAATCAACAATTAATGAACGAGGTTGAGCAAAATATCGTAATTTGTCAGTGGCGAGCAGATCAATAATGTGCCGCAGCCGAAAGCTGAAGAAAATAATTGATCTGCGAGACACTGACAAAATCACGATATTTTGCAATAACTGAGTTCAATAATTGTTTTATCAATCGAGCAACATTTTTTTTTCATATTTACATCACTCTCTGATCTATAGCTCAAAAAAGCGATCTGCCATTTTTCACACAAGAGCGAGGTTATAATTACGCATGAGCAGAATATTATTTGTAGCAAAACACGTTTAGACGGTAGTCCGCATGAGCAGACCATTGTTTGTAGGCAGCTATTTGCAGGTCACGTGGTGGACTTTCGGCCAATGACTAGGAAGAAAAAATTGCATCGAATGATAACAGCATTTATTGGTTACACACTGCTTGGATTTATTACATTAGATGTTAGCTCCCCAGAATAGCATAGGCCATAATATGTTAAGCTGGCATGCTAACTGAGTTGTCTTTGCCAAGCAATTAGAAACCTTAAGCAATGACCGAGGCGGCGCCAGGAACGACGGCTGGTAAAATGGATTTAATTTTACCTTTCAATTTCGTAGCTATCTGAATCTGCTCAGGACGCCAATCTGTCTGAGAACCTGCTCAAGCTAAATTTGTATTACCTGCGACCAATTACGAAACATTTGCCGTCGTCAAAACAATATATAAACCCTGAATATTCGTTCGGCTTATTAGCGTCACCGTAATCGGCGTTAGAAGAGATTTCTTTTCGGCTTGATAAGCCTTTAGTTAATGGAGGGAAATGGTTAAGAAGCCCGGTAAACATCAAAGAAACAAACAAACAGGCTAAGATTTATATGTTGGAAGGTTCTTGACCCTTCAAATCTTTTGTTTCATACTCGCAGACTATGCATGAATTATGAAGTCGCACTGCTTCTATTGGTTGGTTGTATGAGCGCACATGACCAGCTTTCGTACTTTGCCAGGTTTTGAGCGGGGTCAACCCCAAAATAGCCAACAAAAACATGCAACAAAGAACTTTGCCAAGTTTTCTAACCATTCCCTCTACTGTGATTAACTATGGTAAGACAGAAGCACTCCGGTTAGCCTACATGCATCTGAAGAGCAATTTGGCGAAATTTTGCGAGACAGTGCTAGTAGCTAACCGGAGTGCCTTTTAACGCCAACCTACCACTTAACTGAGAAGATTGTACGCTGTTCAAAACATTATTCTCGTTAAACGTATTGACTATTTATTATATGGAGAAGAGTGTTTTACTGGGAACTAAACCACTCGTAGATTCCATACGCCACTTCATCCGGGACCCGAGTGGCGTATTTTCCCTATGTTACCTTTGTGAGTGTCGTATCGTTCAATGACGTCACGATTCCCGCCTTTTGCTTTTGTTGAATTGGTTTCAATATTTAGTCTTCATATAATAAAAAGAACATTACACGTTGGCTCGAAGATATGAATTTTATGTTCTCGTGGCAAGAACAATATCTCACTCGTTCGCTTCNCATATAATAAAAAGAACATTACACGTTGGCTCGAAGATATGAATTTTATGTTCTTGCCACTCGAACATAAAATTCATATCTTCTCGCCACCGTGTAATACCCTCTATATACTTTATTTAACCTCGAATGTACAGAGTAGCTTGTTAGCTAATATCTTCGAGATATTAATACTAATATCCACTAGTATACTAATGCAACTGCTGTAATCTGATTGGCTGAGCCATTGAACACTATCAGCCATTAGTGTGCAGTGGCTGGAGCTCGTCTAGGAAATGGCGACATTTTTTTCGTTTTTCCAAAGTTTTGGAGGAAAATTTTGATGCAAATGGATGATTAAATTCCTGAGAAGTCAAAATGAAGGGCATTTTCGGTTTCTTGACGTTTAAAAAAGTTGAAATTATTAAAAAAAAACTGATGCACACAACTTCAATTTTAAACGACAATATAATCCGAGCGACCTTTTTCAGGCGCAAAGTTTAATAATACATCAAGAAATAATTGGAAACCGTTATTTGAAGTAAATTTTAATAACAATTCTACTAAAACAATTAGATTATTCGCTCTTGATTTCTATGAGGTGAAGGCCTCATCAACTGTCACCTCATAGAAATCTCGAGCTCACAATCTAATTGTTAATTAGCATGTATGATTCAAAGTCGTATTATAAAATCTTGTTATTCCAAAGATATGGTGTTTAATTTAAATTCATATAATTGTAGTGATATGTTCTCCCTCCAAATAGTAGCTGAATGTTAGCCTTTGTTAAGCATATTTAGAAGATACAAATCTTAAATGTTGAAATTAAGAAGTCCCAAAGTGTTCGACTNGGCGCAATTTGTTCTAAAAATAGAAAAATTGTCCCATATCATAGGTACGCGCGAATCCCGAGACTTACGGTCTCCGTCCCCGATTATGGCTCCTGACTTAACTTCATTCCAATTTCATATAAGCTAGTTTGTCGCAATGTCAGCAAGTAAAATGTATCTGTTTAATATTTATTTCAGATCTAGATGAATGCAAGAAGAAAAAGATTCGAGTCAAGTGTAGAAGTATGGGAGCCACATGCAAAAATACCCATGGTTCGTTCGAGTGTGCGTGTCATCAAGGATTTAAGATGCATCCTTTGAATCATGTTTGCGAAGGTAAGGGTGGGTGGGTAAAGAAAACCGTAACCTCGAACCCAGGCTGTCTCTCTCCGCAAAAAAGAGAGAGAGCCTGGGACCGAGGCTGAGAGCACCGTGCGTTTTAACCCTGGCGGGGGTGGGGGGTGGGGGGGTACTCTATGTATCTTTCGGTAGGCGTGTGCCGCTGGGACTCTGAAACCGTTATCCTATACTAGATCATGATTAGTTTGATTTTGCAACCCTACTGTTCGACAAGGCACCAAAAAACCCCTTCTTCATTCCAAACTAGCAGGAGCCAATCACCCGGAGCCTCCATCCGCACTGTAACGTAGGGTCAACCCTTTCCCGTATCATTCTATTTTTAGAACTGTAATAACCGCAAGGGTCTCTTGGTTTCCCACAAAATATCTTGTTTCTACAGATAGAAAATGCAAAACAGGGCACAAAAGTGGGATTTCAGTCTTTGTTATAACAAAGAATGGCCTTAGCTCGGGTATAATTGGGTATTGAATAGGGGTCATGTGAAAACTCCTACGAGAGCTGTTACTAAAAATAGAAAGATAGGGAAAGGGTTGACTCACAGGGTCAGTATGGGAGATAGAGGCTCCGGATAATGGGCTCCTGAAACTAGCTATTTTTCCATGCAGAATCTTTATCACTATTGTAGTCCAACATACGCTGACTAAAACCAATATCCTACAAAGTAACTTCCGAGTTTCAACTTCTCTTACAGAACCCCGGGTAAAGAACCCTGTTCTACTCTAAATTATTTATACACTGGCCACTTTTCCGGTTAATTGTACCTTATATTCTAGATCAAAAACTGTCTGATTTCCATACCCTATCCCAGACTTAACCGCCTGAAACCAATACCCTTTACAGCGGCACATACTCATATAGCTTATACATGGGAATACCCCTGGGGGTGTGGGAGTAACGATTATCGATCCCCTGACGAGTTAATTTTCTTTTTCGACCAATTATAGATCAGGATGAATGTAAGGATTTAGAAATATGCCACGAGAAAGCCACGTGTCACAACACGAGAGGAACGTACCGATGCACGTGCAAAAAAGGATTTGCTGGCGACGGAGTGGAGTGTGTTGTAGACATAGCTTACAACCAGGAGAAAGACAAACAGCTGATCTTAATGATCGGAGGCGCAGCTGGTGGAGGAGTGCTTTTAATCATTGCTTTGATAGCGTTTTGCTGCTGTGCAAGAAAGCGAAAGAAAGAGGAGAAAGAGGAAAATATCGAAAAAATGGAATCTACGCTTTCTCAATATGGAAATGATTGGGAAAGCTCTGACGATTCAGACGAAGAGTCCGACTGAAGCAAGAAAATAAACATGATTCAAATTCGGTTGCTCCGTGTTCAATTTTTGTCTTACGAAACTGATTATATAAGAGCAAATATCTGTTTATCACCGTTTTCTTCACGGGGAACATGTGATTTTCTTAAAATAATCAGAAAACAGATTTTTGTGCACCTCTGTTTTATTTTGATAAAGCAGTTCGGCAGTATTAACAAGGGAAACTTTTCTCATTTTGTTTTATAACACAGGAAATAAAAAGAATTGTTTGAATAAATTGTTATTTGGGAGAACAACCAGACTACCTTTTCATTTTTTAACTCCACTCCGTCTGCAGAGCACAAATAACGCAACAAACAACTACGAACATCTTTCGCGGTTACTGGTAGGGCGCTAACCGCGGCAGTCACATGTACCCGTCAGGTACCTATTTTTCCTGTGAAATCAGCCATGCCAGAATAGCTAAATTTTATGCCTCCTCACTAGTTATTAGTTTTTAATTGGGCGAATTTCAAAATGCAAGGTACAAGCAACATTACCAAGGATTGTTATATAAACTTCTGCAAACCAACCAGTACAAAGTCTAGTCTTGCCATAATTCAGGAGAAAAACCTATTTTGTGGCCTTGAAATATTTATTTCATTTTATGAGCAAACAGGAAGTGTTTCATACCTTGATTTCTTTGAAAGGTTTTATTTGATAATGTAAACCAATCTTAAAACAGTTCCCTTTACATGCAACTAGGGTTCTAGGTTTGGTAATAGTCCTTTGCAAGATTTCTTTCTCAAGGCATACAGAACAGAACTGATGAGCTATTAATATTTTGACCCCAGTTTCGCTAAATATACATGCTTCTGTCAGTTATATTGCAAATTTAAGTGTATATCTTGTACAACTGACATTCATGCATTCTATACTCAATGGTAAGACACAACGTCCATACTGAATACTTGGAACTATTATCAAGAATGCACTAATGACAAACATTAGCACAATTCTATTTGTACACTAATCAAGACATGCTGCAATCTGACTGGCTGAGCTACTCGAACACAATCAGCCATTAGTGTGCAGTGGCTGGAGGTTGTCCACATAATGACAAAATTTCCTGGTTTCTCTCATGCTACGAGGAAGATTTAGAAATATTACTGGATAATAACTATCCAGTAATATAATTATTACACTCTCAAGGAAAGAAAGGAAATTGACCATCATGCTACATTTAAACCTCAAAATTTTTCAATGAACCAATGAGTGCGTGTGCACTATTGCAAGTTTCAAATACAGTTCAGTCCAGACAATGTTGCTAAAGAAGTGAGGTTTAGCACTACGGTGACAAATGAATGGATATTGTCTACATTTGAAAGAAATTTAGTAAGTTAGAATTCTACTACACAATTACAATTATTCGCTTGGGATTTCTATGAGGTGATTATTAGTTGATTTGGCCTTTGGCTTCCTCAGCGATCACCTCATAGAAATCTTGAGCTTGTAATCTAATCGTTGATCAGAATAGCAATATCAAGACATGTGCCAGTACAGTGTTTTATTACACAAGAATCCTATTTAATATGTCTGTTATGACTAAACAGATCTTACACTAGGGAACTCTTAACACTGTCTGCCAGCAGGTTTTCATTTCCACTGATAAAAACAGCATTGATTCTATTATAGCAAAAAAAATGTGCTTTCATTGCCAGACTTCCCCTACCTTTCCCTCTACTCTTTCCTGGATTTCATCACCGCTAATCAAGTAGTGTAAAAGTGGTGAATTATTATACTCTTGGGTCTCTAACCTCTTACAAATACAGTGTACATACTTCTGACCCATCATGCTTGGAGTTTGTGCAACAGCTAATAAGATTGTCTGCAGTCAACGAAGGAGGCTCCCACATCATTAGAATACTATCAAGTTCTCAATACAACTTCTCACATATTTTGTAGAATTTTCCCTTGTAATTTCTACTCTCCAATCATGACAGCTTTCCACAGATCATCAAGTCTTTCAGTCTTGTCAGGTTCCTACTTAAGTCTTGTATAAAAAGTTTACGAGAAGTTAAAGTGTAACAATTAGTTATTACTGCAGATGAAAGTGTTGCCTAGCTTACAGGGACAACTGAGCTAATTTACACATATCACAGGCAAGATTAACAAATTATGTAACATTGGTCATGAATGGCTGAAAATATTCTCACACATAATTCATGGTTGACGTACTTGTCATCTTACACTTACAACAAATCATATGAAAGTCGGAGACAACACTCAAATTACTATTACACAGCTTGAGCAAGATTGGAGATTAGAATTCTAATACAATAATGGCTGCATAAAAACACCTATTTGTTGATCTTGCCCATATGTGTTCAAGTAGCACATCGCCGATTTACCCATGATTTGTATAAGAGAAGATTTTGAAGAGAAATCTATTTACAGCAACCGCCCTGGTGCGGTTCATTTGTTTCCCTGAGGTCAACACCTCTTGGCTGTCGGCCCACAGCAGGTCCAGCTGATGCATTGTCACTCTTGGGCAGTTTCTTTGCTGTAATAGTAGTAATAAAAAAACTGTAAATTCTGATAACTCCTTAATTAAGAGGTTGCTCCAACTTGACTCAAGTTTCACCAGCATTAAGCAACCACCATTAACTTCACTCTAGATGGGATTCTTCATTAAGAACAGTAAGAGACACAGAGTCGCACTCACCTATTGCTAAGAAGATATCATTGACGTTCATTGCAGTTTTTGCAGATGTCTCCATAAACAGAAGACCATTGTCCTCAGCATAAGATTGAGCATCCTAATCAGGCAAAAACAATCCATAATTCAGTTGGTTCAGAGAATTTACTGTTTGTTACTTAGTCACACAAAACTAAGATTTCACATTTTATAAATTAGAAGCTGGCTAGAAAAACCAGGTATTACAAATTTTTCTTTCCCTTTGAAGTCCCTTTGACTCTTTGTCCACATATTTGGCAGTCATTTTTTGAAAATGTGAGGTTATAGAAGGTGAGTACTTTATGCACCATTACCATTTCATGAAGTACATGTCTGAAGGGAAACTGCTGACTAAAATGATTTATAACCAACCATATATGGCCGCTGAATAAATGAGCAGTGCAGAACGTAGTACACAAACAGCTATGGACAAACTTTGTTGAACAAAGAAATGCTGTTACAAGACTGTTAGTACCTTTGATTTTCTATTGTTTCATTAGTAATCCAACAATTTTTTTTTTAAATTTTGACTGGCAGAAAAAAAAATTCAGCTCAACATTTTTGGACTCTACACTGGAGTCAAAGTGGCTCCCTGTAGGAATTACTTGGAGTCGAATAAATTCTTGGCATAAAATAGGCCAAATTTGGCATATTTGTAATCCCTGAAAAACTATTAAGCTAGAGGTAGTTTACCTCATATTCCACCATCCTCTTGCTTGAAAGATCTGCTTTATTTCCTGCGAGTGCTATGACAATATTTGGACTCGCCTGTCGCTGAAGTTCTTTCACCCAAGTTTTTGCTCTGCTAAATGTATCCTGGTTTGTTATGTCATACACAACAATAGCAGCCTGTGCACCTCTGTAGTACATTGGAGCTAAACTGTGATACCTCTCTTGACCTGCTGTGTCCCATATCTCAAACTTAACAGTTGTATCATCCAAACACACTGTCTGTGTCAAAAAGGCAGCTAAAGATCGCAGGATAAAGAGATTAATCAATTTTGTAATTTCGCTGTCCTTTTTTTAGACTTCAAAATATTTAATGTTCCTGAATGAGAGAGAACTTCAATTCAATTCAATTCAATTCTTTATTTACACTACATAGGGCATTTAAATACATTTTGTAAGGTAAACTAATGAAAATAGTACAATAAAATGACGAAATAAGATGCTGTAAGGAAATAAAATTTCTATGTGAGCGGTGACCAAGGTAGCAAGAGCTTTCTGGTTGGACACCACCATGGTAAAGTAAATGGCAGCAAAAACTAATTCAGCTAACCTTGACCTACATGCACTTATTTTCATTTCTTCTCACCTCCAATTGTACTCTCCTGATATTCATGAAACTGTCCTTTAACAAATCTTAGAACCAAACTTGATTTTCCTACAGCTGATTCACCTGTTGAATTCGATCATTGAAAAAATTCAGCATGGCTGTGCAAGTTTAAAATGCAAAGTCCAGCAACAAAGAATTTAAACAAGGAAGTATTTGACAGACAATTGCTCAAAGAGGAAGTTAACAAAGGCATGCCACACTTGCCCCAAAATTGACATATCAAGAAAGAGGATAAAGTACACCACATTCATTCTCAGAAGCCATTCGGTTTCTCTTTCAAAAACATCAGAGTAACAAAATTAGTAACTGATCTTTTGCTGAGAAATACGTCTTGTACATTTCCACATTTTTGCAACTAGGACAAGACATTAATTTACTTTTCTAAATCTTCTTGACATATCCACTCTAAGATGTTTTTGAGCTTCAAACAACATCTACAGCATGTGTGCAAACTGAAGGAAGACCAGATCAATTGAAAAAACAAAGAGAATGGCCATATGAAGTTTGCATAAATGTTATGGTATTACTCTAGAATTCTGGCACTCAAGGAAGTTGAGAAGGAGAAAATGAAAAATGGAAATTCTCTTTACCAGAAATCAAGGAAGTACAGTAACTGAGTCGACTGGTTGAGAGGGGAACTTTTGAGTAACTCAAGTCATATTTCCAATTTAAGTCTTAGTCACACAAGAAAATCTTTGCCATCATACCAGATATCATGATATTGTACTAAAGATATTTCTATCTGGCCCTTGAACTCTATCACTACCTTGAGTTAAAATCAAGTTTAAAAAAAACATGTTCCTTATTATGCTGAAAGTGACACTCACCTAGAAGTACCAGTTTAAACTGACAGATTTTACCCTGCACAGCTCCATTGGGGCGTTGTGCCGTTCCCCGCGTCGCCATTGAAAGACACTAAATATCCGGTTGAGGTCTGTACCAAAGTTTTAAGATTCCAGCTTAAATATCTTGTAAACGTAGATCACACAACTAAAATAACAAAGTGACTGAATCAACTGATGTATAATTTCAGGACAATTTTTGAGAAATAAACCCACAGGAGTTCCATGTTTTCAACTAATGACATAAGGACTGACGCTTATTCTTAAAAAGTAATGGCTCATACAATGTACAGTAGTATCAGAGATAAAAAAAACTGTTCAACAGAAATTATAGAAAAAAAAATTAGCTTTTTAAATTGGCCGAAACTCCCAATATCTGATCAAATTCACATTTCTCCTTACAATGTTAACATATATGACTGATACATACAGATGAGCATACAGAAAATCATCCACTACAAATGTAAGGGATGTTGCTTGATGAATAACAAAACTCTCAATACTAATGATAAAATGACTGTACACATTTTAAAAATATGCAATGACAAAGCATAATACTAGTAAAGACATCAAAATAGATGATTTCAAAATCATGGGGAATAAACAGGGAGAAAATATGAGGCAAACGAACTTTTTCTGCAGATATAATAATAATACAAACAAAATTATTGTATAACATTCTTTGCATGTTATTTTTTAAGTATTAATATAATAAGCAAGCAAAGTTTGTGAAATTACTCTACGACGTTAAAAGGTATCTTACTAAGTATTCTATAAAATGTATGACATGAATGTATTCACAAAACTGCCGTTCTGGATGATCGTGGAAGAAGATTCATCAACATTCACAAACCGTAAAGCCTCGAAAAGATGATTACGAAATAAGCAAATCGTTCTTTACGTGCAGGCGATTCCATTAATTACACGTTACTGCAAACTAGCCTGCGCTACGTTCGTGAAAATTCACTTAGATTAAGGTCTAATGTAAATAAAAACACAACTATTTTTATTTGGGCGTTTTCTTGAAGGATGTAAGCTTAAGTTCAAGCCAAAGTTAACGAAACACTGGAATGTTCTGTCCTGGCTACAGTACACCGAACTTGCGAACTAAAAGGTTTGAAATTTTAATAGTATCTATTTTATTAAGATCGCTTGTCTGGACAAGTCCTCGATGCAATCTGCTCCACAAGAAATAGGAGTCAAACTTTTACACCAAATACCTTTTAATTTCCATCCAAAGGACACAACATCGGTTACCTAATAACACGGCAAGATTGTAGATATCGGTTAAACTTCGCGACATTGCAATCGAAGAATGATTGTACCAGAAAATTCCCTTCCTTCGTGACTTAATGATACAATGCAGAGGTTTAGGATCGAAGAGGAAGACAGTTTCGGCAAGAAATGTTCGCCAAAACAACCGTTTATGCATGATCAAACGCAAAACGACGTCATACTTTCCAAATAAACGTTCAAAATGAGTACAGTCGTTCGTGAATTTCCGGTGAAAACAACTCGAAACGAAACGGCGAAATTGCCCCTGTCAGGATAAGTACAGGAGAAAAAATTCTTCTGCATTACTCTCCCAAAGCAATGTAGCTATTTGTCAACAGTAACAAAGAAATCCTCTAACTACCGGGTCTACATAGACGTGTCGGAGAAACAAATATGGCGACGCTTCTAGAAACGTATCGCCTGACTTCCTTTCATGTTTACGACAAAATATGCGATCAAATGGAAAAATCACGACCAAATATCAGCACACAGCTGTTCAACAGAGAACAAACCTACCTGTAAATGGACTTCTAAGCGATAAAATTAGAAGAAATCAGTGAAAATAGCTGATATCACTCTAAAGTACAAGTTTCAGTTCAGAGCAGGACCACAATGACCCGCGTGACTACACGAGCCCTGCTAATGCTTCTCAAGTCCAGTCCACCCCACAGTTGGAACAAAAACATTACGTCATTTCTAATTTTCAGCAGGGCCGGCCGGTACGGTATAATAACCTAACCCAGGATTAAAAGTTAGTCGAAGTACGTAATTATCTTTCTTGTATAAAAATGTTTTACACTTCTTATGTTTTATGTAGCTCAAAACTCAAAACTGAGGGACAAACAATATAAACAGAAGACTTCGCCGGACAGTTACAAAACAGCTTAATCGGGCCTTGACCTACCCGGCCCAGATTTTTAGGCCAGACGGATTCAACAAGTTCTTTCACCCAGCTGCCGATTATTTTCGGCTACGTGGAAAACAATCGGCGTAAATCCCTTGCGTTCGCAGGGGCAAAAACTTTGGCTAAAGCTTTGCCTTTGCTTGTGCGTAAATTTCGACTTTCTTGCCAGTTTTTGGGTGTGGTAAACACGGCGAAGGGCAACCATCACCGCGCGCAGTTATAGAGAAGAATAGACTATTCTACATCTGTCACTGTCGATAGTGTTGGAAATTTTAGGAAATTAAGACCAACATTACCTGTTCTCAAGAGTTGAGTGCATGTAATGAAAGAGCAGAACAGCCCTTTTACATGTATCAGTATGGGCTAAGGCCCTGTGAGGGTATTCCGTAAATCTTTGGGTAGGGGTGTGCCGCTGGAACACTGAATATCTGGCTGCAGTCCCTTACCCTATACTAGACCATGATCAGTTTGATTTTGCAACTCTCCAAACGTAGACAATCGATTGAAATCGAGCTCGCGTACGTTTAGGAACAAATCCCTTTAGTAAAATAGTGTAACAGCTGGTAATCAGGAGCCCCTGCTGGAAATATAATAATTATGTATTTACTCAAAAAAAAAGAGAAAAGAAAAAAGCAGTTTCATAGTATTACACCAAAAATGTGTTGAAAATTAGAGATAATTACAAGTGAGGAACCTTCATTTTTTTTCTCAGATATAAATTAGACTTAAATAAAAGTTTACAATTCTTCGAATTCTGACATGGTAAGTTCACACATTTAGAGAGGCCATCACCTCGTTCTCGAGGTCTCTGTTCTCAAGAGAGACCCTGGGAACAAGTCTGTAAAGGCAAGCAAAAAAATTGGAGTTTTGCGCGAAGTAAAAGCTAGTATTAGCTCCTGAAAAAATAAACTGAGCTACAACTAAATTGTATGCAGAAGAAAGCCCAAACTGAATATCTGGCTGCAGTCCACAGGCTAACGTCTTTCTTTTTTCTAATCATTTATGACTCTTCAAAATCTCAACTGTCAGAGAGATTTGATCCGTCTTCGACAACTGTCTGAGCCCGCGGTAAATTACTGTTAAAACGCACGACTACCTTCGGGCTCGTACGATTGTCGATTGGCTGAAAAGAATCGGAAAATCTTCGGTAACTAAGGCTTCCCTCCAAAAACGGCACTGCTTGGGTTAAAGTGTAATCGCCAGCGATACACTTTCCTTGTCTCTCTCTTTTTTTCTTTTGTTTTCTGCGCACTGAAAACTTCAGTTACTGGTTATTTCTTGAGCTTGTTAAAACTACTTATCAAAACAGAATGTGTTGGACTTTTGGTGTGGGCTGTAGCTCAAAAAATAATTGCTTTTCACTGTTACACTGGGCTAAACTTATTAAAAAATAATAATAATCGTTGAAACGATGTCATCCCTCTAGCTCCTAGAACCAATTGGTCAGAGACGGTTGGAATTATAGAATGAGCAGGATTCTGAAGCATGGGCTTTAAAAAAAATATTCCAGTGCTTGGTAACACTGAAACGAGATGGACTGAAAATATTTTTCAGTCCATCAAGTTTTGAAAACGGTTTCTGGCTTTCCATTTTCATTTGAACTACTTAACGATGCAAAGAGCCAATAACTGCACGCGCAATTCATTGGTAAAGGACTACTTTGATGTCGCCGCCTATCAAACTAGCCTGGCTCTGATTGGCTAAGTAACGGCAGAAGCCAACAAAATGGTGTCAATCAAGATTGTATCGAATGACAAAAGTATCGCATTTTACATTAGTATAAAAACTCAGAATTCGAAATATAATTAATGTTTACACTAATACTTAAATTCAAATTGGAATATCACTTAGATAACAACAAATTACTTTCTATCGCATTAAAAAAAATGATAAATTGAAACAAGTGTTTGATGTATGTGATTCGGGTCATTTTGAAGACCTCAAAACTACATATTGGCTATAACTTATATCACAAAATATTCCATACCTAACGAACTAGCTAAGCGTTTCCTATCCGATTTTTTCTGGGAACAAAAATAACTCCCAGTCCCCATCATCCAGCTGTCATTCATGAAGGAGTAAAACTGAAACAAGCTGTTACAGTCCTCCCTCGACCAATGCATCTGGTCTTACCCAGTCCCTTGGGTTCCTCGAACACTAAATTAATTATCATCTTGGCAAATTTCATCTCACCAGAACAATAGAGAAACCTCAAAAAAATCATATTCTGAAATGGCCACCTTTTAGCTCATGGGATCAACGACATTCTTGTAAAATAATTTGTTTTTCTATTTTCTCAAGAGGACAATTTGCTACGTGTCTTAACTCGCAGCTAAATAGTTTCAAGTTTGTTCAAAAATTAGTCCCCTTCTTCATCCGAAAGATCATCAACGCCCACAGATTGGTCCATGGTGTCATTGGTTTCGAGGCCCATGGTATTGTCGTCATCATCTGAGACATATCGCTTGTTAATGGCTTCTTTGATTTGGTTGTTCGCGCCCTTGGGGTCCAAATCGATCGCCCAGGAGAAGTTCATCTGTGCTAGGTGGTTTTGTCCCAGTTTTCTGTAGACCTGTCCAAATCGAGCAAAATGTCAGTAGGAAGTTTGCAAAGTTTACGTCTGTAGAAGAAAAAGGTCCAGGTTTAAGCTCTGGCCGGTGACATTGTGCTGTGTTCTTGGGCAATACACTTTACTCTCACAGTGCCTCTCTCCACCGTAGATGTATAAATGGGTACCAACAAATTTAATGCTGGGGGTAACCCTGCGATGGACTAGCATCCCATCCAGAGGGGGGGGGGGGGGGGGGGGG